CCACTGAGCAAACCCGGAATAAGTCTACACTTTAAATTTTTTAAAAGTTGCTTTGTTTGAGCATTCTGTAATTGCACACTGGTTATACTAGATGGCCAGTTATTTTCGTTATATTTTCCAACGAGATCGTCCACAAGTGGAGCTGGCCAGTTTTTTTGAATCAATATATTCTTAACGCGTTGCTTGAAATGAAAACAATGGTTAATTTTTTATTATTTTTTAAAGGTTTCATACAAAATTTACCGGAAAGGACTCGTCAGCCGACGTTAGCAATTTATGAGATCTTCGAATTTTAACTAGTTCCAATTTATTTGACCATAATATTACGTCATTAAGTGAATATCTAGAACTGTCCGGTCTGCCTGTTTCCATTCGAATTTCCTAAATATAATAATGTTACGTTAGTAATTATCCAAAACTACTACACAGTAATTTTAATTAGGACAACGAAAAATAAAAATTCTATATAGCCTGTTCACCAAAAATAATTTTATATGTGTAAACTATACATTGTGCTTAAAGTAATCCGGAGTATTTTGAATATACCACATTTAACGTCTTAAACAGTGGTGAAAAAAAAAAATGATAATCTTATATTCTGCTCTTTAATGAGAGTTTGTCAAATATGTAGGTTTCTACTTTTGGTTGGTCAACGTATATTATTAGTCCTAAATCTAAAGAGTATTTAGTGCAAAATAAGATCTTATTTGATTAGATAGGTCTTCATTTTAATTTTTCCAGTTACGATTTATAATTAAATTTAGCGATTTTCAATAGTTAACTGTTTATTTTTAACACACAGGTTTATAGTATATTCATACTGGGTAAAAATTGTTTGCCTTGTATTTTATAACCTTAATCATTTTAAAGTAAATAATTTTAAATTATTCATAAGTAATTGTCGAAAACATCATAATTACCTCGACATCAGCAGAATTAACTGTTAGAATATAATTTATCAAACATAATATAATAATGTATTTTATATTCATTTTGTATAATATATATATAGTTAAAATATTATAAAACGCTTGAAGACTTTTAACTAACTGAAAGAAAATTTTCTTATGCCCAACAATAGCATGTCTAAGGTATAGTAGTTGTTGCTGAATAATATATTTTATCATTTCATTTCGTCTTGGTTGTTGTCACTGTATTTTACTGCACAAACACAGACATATTATTCAAAAACCGTACTTTTTAGTCGCGAGTTGACATAAATCTACGAACCACACATACAGTATAAAGAAACTATATTTTGTGTTTTAAAAATTAGAACAATGCTATTGTCACACATAAATTACGTTCATTATCTTTTCTACGGTCATACATTTAGCGTTAGTAATTTTTATCGTAGCATTAGAAAACATCAAAAAAAGAAACACATATTGGCACTACTATTTAGGAACATTTTATTCAATTTTATCACTTTTATTCATAATAATTCTTGTAGACCTGTGACCTCTCCGTTTCCTCATTGCTTTGATTACATTATGCCAATACTCTACTGTACTAGTCCTCTCGGATAAAATCACTTTCAAATTAACGCTTTGATGCTCATTTGTAAATACAGAATCTTCATTTAAAACTTTCTAACTTTGCTGGTTTATACTGTGCTTGGTTTGGACTGTACTGGCTTGAAAATACTAACTACCGATTTGCATCGAAGCGTTTTTTCGAAAGTGATTTTATCAATTTCAGATTTAAAAATTCCTGTAAACCTGTGACCTCCCCGTCACTACTATGCCCCGACCCAACTATGCTCCGTCCCCACTATGCACCGACCCCACTGTACTGGTTTTTTAAATTTCGAATAATATCATGGTTGGATTAAAAAAATGTATAATTTTCAGTGGTCAAGATAAATAACTCCATAGTTGAATTTTTCACTACTAGAGTGCGTCAAGAAAATTGGCAATTGTATTTGCATACATTGTTTTAAGTAAGTTGGTTTTATATATTTTCTGAATGTAGAATATACAGAGTGATTAGTTTATCGTGAACCACTCAATGTCTCATAGGGTTTAATAAGAAATTTCATTTTTTTTTCATAATGTACTCATATAATGTGATCTTGGCTATTAATACCCCCCCCCCCGCCCCCCCAGTGCAATTTGTTGTAATAATATTGAAACTCGAACAACCAGGTCGTCGTACACAGGGTCATATGTGTGGGTCATTTCACTAAAATTTCATGTTTTTCCAAATCTTCCAAATTAATTTAGTAATCTATTCACAATTATTAAGTACCTTTAATAGAACTATAAAATAAAAAATAAAATATTTAAAAACATTATATTCTAAAAATGTAGTACAAAAGTGAACTAAAAGTAAGATAAACAGCTTGTGTACGAGTCCGCAACACCACGGGATACATTTTTATGTATCTAAGGTGGGATAGTGAACTTATAAAGTTTCTGTCTAAAACTTTAGTGTTTTCATAAAAACTGGATTAAAACCAATCATACAGAATTTGGCCCCTTAAATTATTGAATTTATTATTTATTTCTATTTTGAACGTTGTGAATACAACATGTGCCCTCAGCCCCATTTCCACCGCCAAATCTTACCCCTATATCTCAACCCCTATCTCACACCCCTATCTCTTACCCCTATATTTCATCCCTATTTCCACCCCCATTCCCTTCCCCAACCCTTATTTCTTACCCCTATCTCTACCCCCCTTCCCACCCTCAATCCACATCTCTTACTCCCTATCTCTCTCACTTGACCTCCTAACTTTTAAACTCTAAAATTAAATTAAATATTATTCGATTATTGTTTTTATATATTTATTCGTATAATTTTTTAAAAGTTAGTCGAATGAAATATATTAATATATATTTTTAAAAACTATTCAAATAAAAAATAATTTGAATAACTTTTACTCGAAAAATTTGGTATTTAAATGTTAGACTTATGTAATGTCTTATTCGAATGATGCACAACTCTAAATTTGTACTCCGTGTTGGATTGATTTGGGCTACTTAAATGGCAATCGAATTTAGAAAATATTAGAATAATAGAATTTATGAAGTCCTTTAATAAAAAATAGAAATTATTTGCTGTTTTCATATCAATGACGTGGGCAAATTACTTAACTAATTTTTTACAAAAGACCTACCTAAAGTGTGAGAAATTTAAATAATATACAATAATTTCGGATAAGGACAAATTTAGGATGGTCATTTTTTAAAAACATTATCCGGAAACCAACACACTACATTGGTTTTCTACATTCTGTTTCTTGAGTGAGATGATAATATATTAATATTTTTTGTATGATTATCCATGTTAGGGTGGTTGACAGGTTTCCTTAATAAGGTTTTGGTATATAGATGGGAAAATGACGGAATTGTGGATAAATGTAATCTGATACCAATATTTAAGGGCAAGGAAGATGTGCAGGAGTGTGAAAATTATAGAGGTATAAAACTGATTAGTCATAGTATGAAGGTTTGGTAATACATGGTAGATAAGAAAATATCGAAGAATCATTTTGGGTTTATGCCAGGGATATCAACTATGGAAGGACTAGGGTGGCCGACCCCATGTAATTGGGAGTGTAAGGCAAAAAAGAAGAAGATATGGACTATCCATGTTATAGTTCTAGAATACTCCAAAAAGTATCTTTACTGCAATTTTGCTTAAACACATATTTTATGTATTACTATTGAATTTGACATTATACTGTTTTTTTTTTAGATATCGATTGAAAATGACTAAGCTACAAGTTTTCTGTTTAATTGCGGTTACTATTTGCATTGTTATAAACAATATAAAATGCGCAGCGCAAAACGGTACTACCTAAATATTTGAATCATTTTTTATTACATTTTTTTAGTTTTGATAAGGAACTGACATTTATAAGACTCATATTTATTTCTAACTATGTACAGATTTGTTTAAATATTTTGTGCATTTTAACATAAACACGATAAATACATTTTGAACAATAATTATCAAATTGTGTTAATATTTTTATATCAACTTCAATTAAACGCTTCGATGCAAATTTTGACACACTAGACCTCACTTTAACACTTTCTAAATGTGCTTAGTTTGGACTGCACTGGATTTAACTTACTACCCACAGATTCGCACCAAAGCATTTATTTGAGAGGATTTTTATCACTTTAAGCTATAATAATTACTGTAGAACTGTGACCTCGCTGACAATTTGATATTTTACGAAATTATAATAAAACAATTTATTATTCCAGAATGCCGTAATTACATTTGTACGACCAGTGAGTTACAATTATAATTTTTTTTTTTAAGTCATTTAGGCAATTTTAACGTTATTTCATAATATGTAATTGAAAAATTATTCATTTGTGTCGTTATATTGTGTTAATTTTTGTTACAAATTCGCTAAATAATTTAACGCTTTGTCCTGATCACAAAACAAATAAAATTGCCTGTAAATAACTGCCTATTAATATTTTATTACTAAAATATAAACTGAACTGCCATGTGCTACATTAATGTGTTTGTGATCTACAAAACGAGAAGATGTTTATATACGTTTTCCAAACAATATTTTTTTATATATCGTATAAATACTCTTTACTTCCTTACTTAAACTATTTTAGCAAAGTCAAACATTTATAAAGTAAACGTGAATCAAACATTTAACTTTAGTTAATAAAAAATACCACCATTAATCCCGCAATATTAGGGGTATTTTAAATTACCATCAAGATTATAATTTAGTAACCTCGAATACCTCGAATACATAACCTACAATTTATTATTATTTTTTTTTAATGGTGTACAAATGTAGCAGTAATAGTTTTAGCCAACATTCGGTTAGTGGTTTATCAAAATTAAAGACTAAATCAATGTAGAGTGCCACATACTAAAGATAGTACAAGCAATCGTTACATCATTTTGTTATACAACCTTTTTTTTGGTGTATCTAGCCTCTTAGCATCGCTTTGACTACATTGTATATTGTATTTGTTAATTATGTAAAATTTGTTTTGTTTTTAGACTACATGCTTAATGATTTAAATGACAGTGAGTGTTTGTATAGTTAATAATATAGTATATCATAATTGAGAGAAAAGAATAAAAAATTATTTTATAGAAAAAATGAAGTTTGGCAAAAAAAATAGGCATAGTCTAAACTCTAAACGGCGCCATACTTTTAATGTAATAAGGTAGAATTATTCCATCTCACCATGTTTAGATTTAACAGTTATTTTAACCAATTTCCTGCATTTAAATTGTCAATAATTGAAAATAATACTATCTAATCCATAATGATCACATCATAATTGAGCGGCTGGGTGCAAGAAGAGCATTTTCTAGAAAAACGTGTTTTGAAATAAACGAAGTTAATATGATATAACTTACAGTATGAGCAAATTTTTATACTGTGACTTAACTATCATTGTATTTAAAAGGTGGATGTTTAAATAATATCATATTGTGGCCAGTGCAGTGGTGTATAATTATATTTTCTGAATATTTGCTAAATTATAAAATTTACTTAAAAATGGAAATTCCCTTTTTTTTTTGGGTTATATTTTCACGAAATTTTATTTTAACCAATATTAATGACAAGATTTGTAAATCAAACTGTTATTTATATATGATGAGATGTGATAAGGTAGATAAATAATCAATAGATAGATTATCAATTAAACTATATTAACCCAACCTAATATGTGTATGCATACAAAGTTATATCTATTAAAACACGTTTTTAATATAAATGAATTAAATGTATTGTTCTAAACCTTTACTTTACTAATATACTCTCATCGTTTACATACATTTTCACCCTTTCAAAATTATAATTATTCATTTCCAACTGTCTCGTTTCACGGTTATGTCTCGTGACTATCATGTACTTTGTTTTTTTCTCATTTCTCATTAATCAAATTTGTTCACATATACTTCTATCAATTAGCTAGTAGTTCTCATTAGGTCTTCCTCACTCTCCACCATTTTTATAACATCATCTGCATATCCTGCCACTACCAGGTGCTGGTCATTTTTTATTTTGATTCCTGTGGCTCCAGCCTAGGTCTCTCTCATAACTAATTCTAGTGCTATATTGAAAAAGGCTGGTGACAAAAGGCTGGTACGTTATGTCTTATAAGTTGTATTAAGAGTGTCTGAAACATGTTCTTGGATGCCTTCGCTGTTTTGTCATTTTCTGTTAACATAGTCCCATATTCCATTCTTACCATGATATGCCTCGACTTAAAACCTTTCCTCATCTTGTTCACCTTTTCGAAGAACCTTTTCCACAATCGTTTATTTATCCTAATTATTCTGTTTGCCTCTCTCTATCTTATGGCTACCATCCTTTTGTTCTCCTCCGTTAGATTGATATACAATTATAGAATATCTGTGCTATGGCTACCTCACTTTAATGTTTTATTAAATATTGAATGGTAACTACTGAAGTTTTTTTAACGAAATCATTAATAATTTGTTTTTGTACTTTGATTCCAGATCAAAAAGAACAACTGGTCAACCAACTCATTCAAAGATACACAGATGGTAATGTTATGTGTAAATTATTATTTTAGTTTTAAGTAAACTCAATTTTACAATATTAGGCTATTGATTTGCCATTGCATACCGAATAGTTTTGTTGTACTATCAATACCGTTTGCCACGTTTCAACCCGCATGCACTACTTTTTCTTTCCTTTTTTAACAAACAAATTATTTGTGTTTTTTTTTTCAGAGAATCTTCAGAAATTGATTTTTCCGCCAGGTAATTTACAATATGTTTTATACGATTAGGTGATATCATAGATCTACAAAGAAATGAACTGGACTTATCACACTGCACCTCCCATTATAACTTAAAATTTAAATAACATTAAAAGCAATTATTAAAAACTGGTTATCGACGAGTCTTAATATTCTTTAAATTATTCTGAATAAAATATGGTCATCTTGAATTTTAAAGAAAAAATGATTCAAAAATTATTGAAAAACGAAAACAGTTAATTGCAATAAAAAAAACGTCGTGTTTTGCAAATGAGTATAAATTAAGTTCCTCTTTCAAGCTATACCTAATATGTATATATGCATATACGAATATAGACAAAATCACAACGTTTAATAATAATAAAAATGATAATACTATTAGTAGTTTACCTATGATCGATGTTAAATTGTATAAGAAGATACAACTTGCCGGATGCATGATATTATCTTTATCTGATTTTATATTTACTTAAACTATGCATCAAATATCAAGATTTATTCTAGTTCTAACGTGTATTTGAGTTATTTTCTATTTCATTAACACTACACATTTATAACTAACAAACTATTTAGAGGATGTCCGTAAATCTACATATTAATATACCTACCTACTAAAGATATAGTTTTAAATTGTTTTTTTTTTACTAAAATTACCGGTTTTATTATTAATCCATTAATATTACTAGCTGGTAAATTTATATCAAAACAAAATTTGCCTAAACACAGAATGTACATAAAAGTTTCATTTTGTAATTAAGCTTTCGATTGTTGTGGCTTTTGTCGATTACTTAAATATATGTGGCACCTTTTATCAGTAGCATTATAAAATCGAATCTCTTTTTTAGCTACCACGTCAATGGCACCCCAGGGCAGGGTGAAAGGTAAAAAAATATCGTCTGCATAACTTATAATTAATAGTAACTTTGTTTAGTAATGACGTTTCTTGTGATATTTTATGGTAGGCAGTGAAATTTTACATATAATATAACATTTTAATGGGGATTTAATGTTTTGATTATAGTTTTCGATACAATAATAACCCGAGAAAAGACTATACTAGAAGCATTATCAGCTATCATAAGTAACTAATATATATAATAATAATAATAATAATAATAATAATATGTTAATATATTATATTGTGTCTAATAGAAAAGGGTAACATGGCCTACTTATACGCACGTTTTTTTTCATTTTCCAGTGTTATATTTTTTTATTTAATGTATCTACTCATCGACTTTTCTAAACCTTAAATTACTGTTTAGTAGTTAAAACTTACAAGATAGCAAGCTTTTTCTATCTCTCTCGATTGCTAACGACTTTATTGGTGGTCACGTTTTAAAACATTAGCTCGATAATTATTGTCCATAAATGCTTGATTGGATTTATACGTCATATTCTATGACTAAAATAATAAACTTAAATAAGATTTATTATTTACATTTTTTGGACCCTTAATTATAAGAGTAATTATTTTTATTACAGTACAAGAGCCAACAATTGATTTAAGTAGTAAGTATAACAGTTTTCTCCAGAACAGTTATTTAGGTAGTATTTGAGTGAATATTACAATTGTACAATGTGCTTAAATAAGGCTATATTAATAATGGTCAATTGAAAAAGTTGAAAATTCTTATCTATAGTTTACATGGTATAACTTTAATGTTAAAAATAAAACTAAATACATCATCTGTATGATATTATAGACAGAATTGACTACGACAAGGCAGTAAAAAGCAGACATGTTGTTTTACATACTATATTCAACTATGTTCTACACCACAAAATGAGTAAGCATTTTTATAATATTTAACGCTACTTTTAAAACGTCGTTAAAACCAAACTTTGGCCTATACCTAACCTATCTATGCGTATGTTGGTATCTAGTATGGGTAAACAATAAAAACAAAAATACTTTTCCAGTAATAGCAATAGTCCAGCAATAGCAATCGCATGATTTAAGCAAAAGCTAATGTATTTATTTTTTAACTGTTTGGTAGATCCGGAATATTTTATATTATTTCTTGTCATCAATTTGTAGTGTTTAACGATTACCTATATTTCTTTTCAATAATTATGTCGTATGGTTTCAGATCACATCCAAATGTGCAAAAATGGCGAAATCGCTAAATGCAGATTGCTCGGGGTAGCGACGGGTGCATTAAATCCTGGGCGTAGATATACACAAGGATGTAATGATGTATTAAGTTGCGTTATAGGATTGGAAGCAAAAGGCGTTAAACCGGTAGAAAAGATCGAGTATGTAGATTTGAGACTTTCGTCAGGATTGTATGAAACAAAATTTGATATAATCTAATAAGAAAAATTGTATTTTAGTTAAAACCATTGTTTTATCTATTAAACTTTTAATGTTTCGATATCTATATAAAAGTATATTCATTAATAAACTATTATTATAACCAATACCGTCGTCGTATACCTGTTATTATTTCATACATTAGGAAAAACACCAGCACCGCACCGGTTGGATCAAAGGAGAATTTAGAAATCCATATAAATAAGATGTTAGACAATAATAGTGACATTTTATCCCTTAACTGGTATTATAGGTTTCAAGAATAAGCCAAGAAAAATATTTGTCGCTCTTGTCGAATATACTTGATAAAACTAATGGAAAAATTACGGAGTTGAGCGAAAAATATGGCATATCAACCACTTTTGTAGACCATTTAGATATGATTGAATTTAAAGCATTCGTCGGTTTACTTAGGACATGGATGTGTCTTATAGCTAGGTGTCGTTCTGGAAATTAGTCCGTCACGTTTAATGCCACAGTGCTGATTTATGCATATTAAACAGATTAACTTATCTTTATAAAGTGTTTATTATTTCTGAGTATATTTTCATCCTTATAACAAAAAGGGTAGAATTATTAACAAACAAATAATACTTTGGACAAAACAACAGTCCTATTTCATGCGATTATAAAAGCGTACGTCTTAAAATGGCGGCATTCGGTTAATCTTATTAATAATGTGTATAAAACACACTTATTTCGATTGTCGTATCATTGGATACAATTGTCAACTTCATTCTTTGAGTTTTTAAAAAAAATTTAATTTGGTTTTCCAAGGCTTGGACAGTGATCACATGCCGCACTTCTAATCGTTGAGCAATGGATTATTCCTAATTTGTATAATATTATGCTTTATTTAGCTTTCTCTATAACAACTAGAAGTGTATATCGTGGAACGTTATTTCCAGTAATCGTAGCTATTTTCACTTAGATCTTAGTGATGTCACAAGTTAGATATATATATTATA